TGTGATTTCTACAATAATCTTACCAATTTCAATCTTGATGAGGAGGCTGGAAAACGACGGGTGGGTTCTCAGTGATTCTTCGAATTTTTCAGGATTTTTAATAGTGCACTATAGTTGGTCAAGATTTGCAGCTGACTTGAGAATTGGTTGAAAATTTAAATTTTTTGTAATCATATTCCCCTCTTATGTGTCCTGACCCTCTAAATTCAGTTAAATTTTTTTCTTGGAAAACCTAGTTTTTCTCTCTTTTCAGATCTATCACCAATACTGTATCGAACGAGCTGCCTGCCATTCTGCTCATATTTTCACTACCGTATCCGAGATTACAGGATTGGAAGCTGAGCATTTGCTGAAGAGGAAACCTGACATTCTCACACCTAATGGTCTAAACGTTGTTAAATTCGCTGCTTTGCACGAATTTCAGGTAACTCCGTGGTTTTACTTTGATCTTCTCATATCTTAAATTTTTATTGGATTTTTGAAATAACCCTTGAGGTTCTTCAATTTGATCCAAACCTATTCTTTCAAGCCTTGCATTTCCTATTCTACCTAAATCATGTACTTATTGCTCTAATTAGCTTTATTTTCTGCAATTTTAGAGCAGATATAAGAAAAGGGCGGTGCTAAGAAAATACTTCTACGCTAAAATACGATCTCTACTGTTGTTGAGTTTATTTTTTCCCATTCTGAACGTTTGAAACCTTCTAGAAGATTAGCGCAATATTACCTTATGGACTTTTTAGTTACTATCCTAGCGGGAGATATTGAATTTTTCTCGTCATCGCCTTTTTTTCAGATAAAAGTCTAACTTTTTATCTTTCTTATCTACTTGCTTGACATCCCTCTAGCATCTAACTAATAGATTTAAAAGTATCAGCTGTTCGCATGAATGATTTATATAGTGATTGCTCTGATCATGTTTCATGTTGTTAAGGTAATTTGTTTTCTTCCAGAATCTCCACTCCTTGGCCAAAGAAAAGATTCACAATTTTGTTCGGGGACATTTCCATGGGCATTTGGATTTCGATTTGGATAAGACACTTTATTTATTTACAGCTGGAAGGTTAGCATAGGG